TTCTACATTCAAATTCATTGTTTGCATACAAATTGTCCCCTCTTCCTACAGTGCCAATCCCAGCCTGCCATCATCCGTTGAAATTATCAAGTTCAATTTCCTTCAAGATATCCTCTCAGTTGCTGAAACACAAGACAAATGCTGTCTTGTGGAAAACTGTTAGCACTTGATCTCTCCTTATCTCTTGGCATCTGACACTAATACTTATCTAAGTATGTGTGATATGTATCTACATAATGACATGCTATTTAGTAGTGTCAATGTATAGCCTATTTCCTCCCATAGAGAATCATTACTTGAAGGTAGAAATACTTTAATATCTGTATTTCCCTAGACATGTGGGGAATGTAATGTATATTGTGGATGTTTAATAGTTGTTACTAATTATAACTTTTAATTATTAAGAACCATCATTTTGAGAGTTTCTTTCTTTCTTTCTCTTTCTTTCTTTCTTTCTCTTTCTTTCTTTCTTTTTTCTTTCTTTCTTTCTTTCTTTCTCTTTCTTTCTTTCTTTCTTTCTCTTTCTTTCTTCTTTCTTTCTTTCTTTCTTTCTTTCTTTCTTTCTTTCTTTCTTTCTTTCTTTCTTTCTTTCTTTCTTTCCTCTGGTTGATTTTCAGGTCATTGCATTTTCTTGAGATATGCTCATAAAGGACACACACACACAAATCCCAACTGAAAGTTTTGGTTTGTGGTGATCTAAGTCTCTCAGATTTTAGTATACGTTATTTGGAACTCCAAGTGTTTTCAGCGCAATGAACGTGAAAAATATTTTGATTTAATCTAGATATAAATTATTTAATGTCTAATGAATACAGATTCATCTGACCAAATTCTCACCTCCTGAGAATTTCTAATGTTATAGTTTGCAAAATATTCTCAGTACTTCAGCAAACATAATTTTAACTGTTAAAGTTCAACATTACTACAGTTGTTGGCGATATTAAATAATTTTTGTGTGATTTCCACTGCACCTTAAATTTCAGGTCATAAAGTGTTATTAATATTATATGGTTGGAAATAATTTCCAGATCAATTAATCAATGCTATCTTAATATTCTGTCTTTAATTTTCATACCACATGTATTTTGTGAGTGGTTTTCATAAGAGGAAGTTGCTTTGTGTTGCCCAGCTCATTATCTTGGATTTTATCCCTAGTTGAATTCCCTTTGTGATCAAAGGGCAGAGAGAACATCTCCTGAATTATTGAACCGTGCTGATTTGATGGGTAGGCCACACACATTAAAGGAAAAAAGTTTCTCTGCAAATATCTACTTGAAGATATTTTACCAAAAAGCTGAGATTTCACTGCAGAAACAACTAATTCTACTACTTCATTAAAAGTAATCTGTTTTTCTATATTGGATCCACATTGTATATATACATATACACACATGTGAGTATTTTGGTAAGTTGCTTCTATCTGTTCTCTATGGTTGGTAACAATCGATGCTCACACCCACAAAGTACTTAAACATCTGTAGACTATTTCCACAAACACTGTATTAGTTGACTTTTAGAATTGGAACAATTTAGAATAAATAATTTAAGAACTCAGAGGCTTAAAGAGAATGGTAGACTCTGGGCTGCATAACTCATTCATGGCAGAGTAGATATTTGAGCCTAGGTCAACCAGTACAAATCTGCCCCCTACCCCGCACACCTATGTTGGCATGCTGACAATTCCAAATTACTATTGTACACATTTTTCTGCCATTCTTCTCATTTCAGCTTAATGTCAGGTCATGGCTTTATAACGTGCATGTTGTGGGGAGAAGCATTGATAAGGCAATGATGAAGAATTAGCAAGAGTAAACTCACTGATAATGGAAAAAACAAGAAAATTTTAATCATCATTACATCATTAATACGTTAATGATATTAACACACTTGTTCTTTCTCCTGTCCATTGAAGATAATTCAGGCCTATTCAGTCAAGTTAGGCACCTCCTCCTACATCTTTCCCTATAAGCAGGATTTTTTTTTAATTTTTATTTATTTGACAGAGAGTGAGCAAGCAAGTAGGGGCAGATGTAGGCAGAGGGAGAGAGAAGCAGACTCCCCCCAGAGCAAGGAGCCTGATGCGGGGCTTGATCCCAGGACTCAGGGATCATGATCTGAGCCAAAGGCTGTCACTTAAGCACCTAAGCCACCCAGGGACCCCTATAAGCAGGATTTTACTTCAGATTTGACACAGAGTAGAAAGAATAAATCACATTAAAGAGGAATCTGAAGGAAAAAGGCAGGAAATACAGCCTAGGTAAGAATGATACCTCTGCTTTGTTTGGTATATTGATCTAGTGGACAACGGGAGTATGGGTTTAGAGTTATTAATTTGGGAATATTAAAGCCATGGGTCTCCATATGATCATCCAAGAAGAATATACAGGGAGAATAAAGAGGCAAAGGATGGACTTGGAAATCATAGTCTCTGTGGAAGACAGGTGCAGAGAAGTCTGTGAAAGAAGACACCACTGCTATTGTTCACAAAATTTATTTTTTAAATATTCACATGAGAAATTAGTTGTTTCTTTTGTTATTTTTTAAAGATAAATATACAGTCTATTTATGCATCACTGAAGTCAGATAAAGGAGAATTGCAGAAGACTATGGTAATGAAATATAACTAACTTTCAAAGATTTGGTGAATATATTCATGTTTTAATCAGTTACACACTGCTATAATTTTTTGTTAAAAATGCAATAGTATTTACAAAGTGTCAGTGTGTAATAAAAGTTGGCATTTAGTACATCAAATTCATTGTTCTAATCTTGAAACAAATAGCAATATTCAAATTCATTCACTGTGTATCACTTATGCTATAATTTTCTACAAAATGAAAAGAAGAGCAATACAGGTTAGCATAATATGTACTCATCTTTTCAACAGGTCATATTTTGTTATTAATACTAATAAAAGCACATTTCTGTATATTTAATCTTTCAAGGCTCTACTCAAATTTCAAACTTATTTACACGTTTATTAAATAGGAATTATCTTGACTCTCCCAAACTCTTTCATTTAAACAGAAAAGTTGTATAGTTTTTATAAATACATAACATATATGTATATGTTCTTTAAAAAAATATATATATGCTCTTGTTAAAAAAATACAAATGAAGGATTTTACCTAAATTCTGCTTTGTTAAATAAATACACATTTTACACCAATACAAGATTTTACTTCAATTCTGTTTTATAACCTGATTTTTCAATCTCTGTAAAGATATGCTATTTTTTCATGACCTTATTCTTCTATAATCCTATTTTCTTTTCTTCTTTCTTTCTTTTTTTTAAGATTTATTTATTCATGAGAGACACAGAGAGGCAGAGACACAGGCAGAGGGAGAAAAAAAGAAGCAGGCTCCATGCAGGGAGCCTGATGTGGGATTCTATCCCCAGACTCCTGGATCACACCATGGGCCGAAGGCAGGCACTCAACTGCTGAGCCACCCAGTGAGCCCCTATGATCCTGTTTTCTTGTGAAAAAATTAATGATTCAATTTTCAATGTTAAGTTGTATTTTTTTCTGGTTATAGTAAAAACATCCACTATAAAATTATCAGAAAAAAAAAGTTAAAAACAAAAATAAAATAATCATATAGGTTTTTCCTTCTGCCTTTTCACACAAATATTATCTTAAGACATTTTAACTTGCTTTTATAAGTTTAAAAATATTCCTATTCCTTCTTTCATGTCACAGGTAGTCTAAATCATTTTAATAGTTTATATAATTTCACTATTTGAACAAAAATCTATTTTATAAGTTCAGTACAATTAAGTATTTGGGTTGTTTATCATTTTCATTGCTATTAAAACTGAATGTGAGAAACATCTTTGCTTCTATTTTTTTCAGACATTCTTAATTTTTTTCTTACATTGTCACTAGATATAGAATTGCTGTGACAAAAAGAGGGATTATTACATATTTGATGAGTAGACTAAGTACTTATTGCATACTCCTTATATCTTTTTTTATAGTACTTGCCCTTGTAGCCTTAATTAGCTTGTCTTCTTTATTAATATTTTAATCCATGGAAGGCAGAAGCTATATATGACTTAAAATAAAATGTTATATAGGCCTAGAATGTAAGTCTTCAAAGTTAAAAAAAAAATTAAGTTCTGTAACATTTGTCTTGCATTCCTTAAATCTATAGCCTGTTATTCTATTCGGTCCTCAAAAGTTTCATATTGAGCTAAGTGATACATACATTTTGGCTTATGAATTCATGAAGGTACATCCTTGGAGAATCACAACTAAAATATGGGTATGGGGGCACCTGGGTGGCTCAGCAGTTGATCATCTGCCTTCGGCTCAGGGCATGATCCCAGGATCTGGGATCAAGTCCCACACTGGGCTCCCTCCGAGAAGCCTGCTTCTCCCTCTGCCTATGTCTCTACCTCTCTCTCTGTATGTCTCTCATGAATAAATAAAAAAATCTTTAAAAAATAAAATAAAATAAAATATGGGTATGTCTGACCCTTACTTCAGATCTCTTGTCATTTAGAAACCAGAAGTCAAGGAGCCTTTTGAGTCACAGAATTATCTGTAGCCTCTAATTGCATGACTTTGGAAGTGACGACATTTGGGGTCCTCAAGACTAACTCAGCCCTCCTATGCCTGTCATTTAGAAGGATACGGAACAATGTGTCAATCTGAAATGCTTAACGATAACTTTGCTCCACATTGGTCACTTCTGGATAGCCTTCCCTCCTTAACCCCCAAACACTCTATGAAATTTCATCTTTCATTCTACTTGTAGTTCAGTCATTTTGACACCCAGTTCAGAAAGAAACTCATTCATAGTTACCTCTTTGACCACTTAAAGAGGAAATCATTATATGCATTGACTTTAAAGTATGATACAATTTTACAACTATAATATTTTTGAAGAAATTAAATAGCCCAGTATTTCAAGAGGGTAGAAATCAGTTATCTGATGAGTTCTGTGGGTAAGAGTCAGAAAGATGCACACATTATATTTCAGAGAACTGTACTCACCTGGAGCCAAAGCCCATCACTCCCTTCAATGCTGGTGCCAACATGCTGTCAGTCAGACACCCTCAGCTGGACTATCACCCGGCCAGGAACTGCTGGCACTTTACTCCTACCTAGAACAAAATACAATGTCAGTCATTTTTTTTTTTTTGAATGTTCATTCAAGCATTGTGAGATATTCATTATGTTATCTTTCCTTGTCACATTAGACACCCATTTATCAGAATGTTCAACATAAAGGAAAGAAGCGTAAACTCTTTACCTCTATAATTTATACCACAATGATTAATATAGCAGCTGTTTAAGTCAAAGGGACCATCTATATTTTATCTCCTATAAAGTGTTTTTTCTAAAAGATTATTATTTCAGTGCCATCATTCCTATCCATTTGGTTTAAGTAATTGATGTGTTAATTTAGAAAGCCGTTTTCTAAATGACAAGAGATCAGACATACCCTTGGAAACTATAAATCAAAATACTTTAACCCCCAGAAAATATTGTTTCCTGTATTTTTTTTTAACCCCAGCTGAAGAAATCTCAGTAGGAAGCAATTTAGTAACGCACTAGCTTTATGCCTGTACTACTTTATATTCTTCAACTTGTGAGACACTGATGAAGAACACAGATGCTTCCTCACATGCACCAGAGTGTTGCTACTATGGAACATTAGGTGAAAACAGACCTTTTCGACCAGATGATGGAATCATAGACTAAACAACAACAACAACAACAACAACAAGAAAACCTTCAGGGCTGGGCTTCCTGGGTATGAAAGGGATGTTAACGGTCTTTCTTCTCACAATTGTGGCCACTTGACCTTCAGCATTCTCAGCCTCACTCCAGTCTGCTGCACAATTGGGTGGTTTAAGGAAACATAAGAAATCCTACAATATGCCTAAATTCTTGCAGTTTGTCCAGGCAGCACTTGTTTTACCTTTGCCCTTGTTCCTTTCTCCAGCACTTGGAATTTGACTGAATTGAATCTCATGGTGGGGATCTTGTTATTTGCTGACCTTCCTCCGTATGCTTACTGCCTACCTTCATCCTCAGAACCAGGTTGATACACCCTCGTGTTTGATGAACCTGCCAGGGTAATCTCTTACCTCTTATTGTACCACTTTGCACTAATCACCCGTTTGAATCACCACTTGATATGTGGCACCACCCTCTCTAAGTGAATAATGTGGCTCCACATACTTCAACACAAGCAGTAAAATCTATTCCCCAAACCCTAACCTTTCTGGTGTCAAGTTATGAACTACTTCTTTTGTCTCATGTTACTATTAAATTTAAGAGTTTTTCTATGCAGTATAATATAAAAGGTGCAAGAGAGACCCATTTCAGTTCCATAATAGAAGTCAAATCTTAAGATTGAATATTGTTCTTTCCCTGTAGCCTTCTTAAAATTCAGATTTTTCTCATCTCACTCTGGAATCCATTTTATTCCCTTTATTTCTTCTGCTACTACCACAATAAGCTTTCATTAGCTCTCATTCAGATAATAACAATAACTCCTTAAATGTCGGTCTAGTGCCAACTGAAAACAGATGGCACTTTCAGATTAGAATAATTGAAAAGAGTTTAATAAAGAACCTATTACAAAACTGTGTGCTATACGTAAGGAAACCACAAGGGGAGGCGCCACCCTGAGACTGCCAGGACGAGGACGGGGAGCAGTTACCACCATCTAGGAGTCGGATGTATGGAGAGGGTCCCCTGGGCAGAAAGTCATCTTTGCTTGGGAGTCCCAGGCATCACAAGATGACAGGATGTGAGTGAGCCTGAGGTAAACCATTTTCATCTTCTGCCTTCTCTCTGGTTTCCTACCTATCCTACCCATGGGACAAACCACACTGGCCATCCAAGGTCACGGAGCCTCTTGTTGAACTCCATCCAGACTAGTTTCCAGTGTTAGAGAGTAGGATGGAGAAAGGTAAGAGTGAATCTGAAAGGAAATAGAGATTCAGCAAACACCTATTCATAATTCAGAGCATGGGATTTGGAATCAGATGTAGGTTTGATCATGTGTATTACTAGATAAACTTTTATAATTCTTGACATCATTATCCATATGATTCACAAAACATACTTCAGAGTTTTATTGTTAGAATTAAATGGCATAAATTACCGAGTACATGTATATCTACTAAGTAGTTAGTATTAGCCACAGTGGTAGTAATTCCTCTCAAAATGCATAGAAATCAAACATAAACACATTCTGGCCACACTAAACTCTTCAACACTTGTAATGGATAGTGTATTGTCATATCTTTCATGAGTGCTATTCCTTCTGTTTAATAATTTTATTTTCTTCCCCCTCCCCACACTAACCCCTGTTGCCAGGGAATCCCTACTCATATTTTAAACTTCATGAAATGATCTGAAGGTCTCTTCAGTTTCAGAAAAAGGAGATCATTCCTTTTTCACCTTTCCATGGCGCATATCATTCTGCAAAATGATTAGACTATGCCATCTTCCTACTTAACTATGAGCTCCTTAAAGAAAAGGTTATGTCTGCCAGATCTGTATCCTCAGATGGTGGTTCATTGCTACGTTCTTAGTAGATATTCAATAAACATTAAGTGAATAAATGTGTATTACTGGAGTTAGTCTGTTACAATGTCAGAAGGTTTGTTAACTTCTTTTCTCTTGGTCCAAAGGGCAAATCAATCTGTAATGTGGTAGGTGGTGGGAAGTAAGATGATCACGGAAAGTTAAGACAACTGATGAAGAGGTCCCAAGGGAAACTCTGAGCTGCTCTGCAAATTCTTCCTGGGACAGCCCTGCTGGAAAATTCACCTCATTCATTTCAAGGCTACCAGAAATACCAGTACTGGTTGATTTCAAGCAATTAGTTACTTACAATCTAACTAGGTAACTGAATACAAAAACCTCTAAGTATCTGATGCACTTAAGTGATAAGACAAGATGAATCATCAACATTTCTTCACTGGCTACCCCAACGTTTTTTCCTGCAATTTAAAATACATGTATTTATTCTGTTTTGTGAATAGGTATACATTTGCATGAATCTAGGCCTCACAGAATGGTATATAGGACAAAGTCTATCACCTTTTCCTCCATCCTATCCTAATGTCACCTGCAACAAGACCAATTATATTGGCATCTGTGGATCCCTGCAAATTCCCTTCAACAAATACAAAAAAAAAAAAAAAAAAGTAGGTATATTATTCCCCACCCCAACCACAATTAAACAAAGAGAAAAGATTGCATTCTTTACCCACCATTATGGGCCTTGCCTTTCTCCCCAAGCCACTGAAAGTAACTAGAGAGTTTTTTATATTAGTAAATGAACAGCATCTTCCGTGTAGTCAGTTTCATGTCTTTCTATTGTTCTGACATACCTACAATAATTTAATTATATAATTATACTACAAGGTTTTTATTTTTCAAAACTTTTATTATTCTTGAGATTTAAAAAAAGTTTGTTGAGGCATCTGGGTGGCTCAGCAGTTGAACATCTTCCTTTGGCTCAGGTCATGATCCTGGGGTCCTGGGATCAAGTCCCACATCGGGCTCCTTGCAGGGAGCCTACTTCTCCCTCAGCCTGTGTCCCTGCCTCTCTCATGAATAAATAAATAAAATATTTAATTAAAAAAAATAAATGTTTGTTAATTTGTATCCAACAGGTACACAGTAGGGTACATTCCTATAAGTGCAGAAGTCAAAAGTAAATAAATGCATTTAACTTTCAAATAGTTTGGCAAGTTTCCCCGCCTTGAAAGTTAAGCCAGTTAATGCTACCAACACTAACTTCTGCCTGGGTGGGCAGATTTCTAGATTCTTGAAAATCTGAAAGGTGAAAAATTTCATCTCTGTCATTTTACTGAGTATTTAAAAAATTATGATGTAGATTCAACATCTCTGGCATTTAAGGGATATTATGTATCTTTTTGTGTGAAATATCTGTTAATATCCTTTGCAATTTTTAAATTTCAAGTACAATTTAACACATTCTTTTGAATTCTATGTACTTTCAAAATGAAGCAAAGTCATTAACGACATTAACGACACCAAAATTCCTCTATGTTAAGGGTTTTAAAAGCTTGTGTTCCCCAGCTCCTTGCAATCTCAGCCCTGGAAAGCTAAACCTCACAAAGAGGTCCCACAGTGCTCTCTGGTGGCGGCCTGCTCCATCGCATCCTCCTTGCATTAACTCAGAGCAAAAACTATAGGTGATCTGGCTTGTTATCCAACTCTTTCTTAACCTCTAAGCCATGCCGGAGACTCCTCACCCGGAGACAGTGTAGAATTGCACCCAGGCCAAAATGAGGAGACAGTAGAGCTACTTCAGCCCTCAGGGACCAACTTTGTGCCTGCAAATTAGTGGATATCCTAATAAGCAAGATTGCTGTAAAAATGGCCCTGGAGTCTCTTGGGCTGCAGTACAAGGCTTGTTCCGGAAGTTAGGCTCTGCTTTACCCTTCCCCGTATATCAGTGACATCAGAAGAGCTATGGTCACTCTTCAGAACTCCAAGTAGTCAAAATATCACAAAGTCAGTTCAGTCAGAAGCCTGAAATTCCTTCATTCCACAAGTATTTCAAATACTATTAAGCACTGTTCCAACTACTTGTGATTCTTTTCAGTGAAATATATATATATATATATATATATCCTCAAAAATATCTATCTTCTTGGAGCATTTCTTCTAGTTGGAGGATGTAATCAGGAATAATGTAATTAAACAAGTAACCTGCTTATATTGCAAAATATGGATCTGTGAGACTATGGGGGCAGAAGGTGGAGTGCATGTTTCTCTTTAAACTAGAAAAAAGAAATAGAGATGCCTGGGTAGCTCAGCAGTTGAGTGTCTGCCTTTGGCCCAGGATGTAATCCTGGCTTCTGGAATTGAGTCCCACATCGGCTACTTGCAAGGAGCCTGCTTCTCCCTCAGCCTATGTCTTTGCCTCTCTCTCTCTCTCTCTCTCTTTCTCTCTCTCTCTCTGTGTGTGTGTGTCTCATGAATAAACAAAATCTTAAAAAAAAAAAAAAGGAAAAAGAAAGACAAGGTGGGCTTCTTTGGGTGAGGATTTGAAGGTGTGGAAATTATGTGGTTTACCAGAGGAGAAACCTTCTAGAACAGGGCAATT